TGTGTCCAGGCATGCTGAGGAGGGCTGCTGACAGTGTTGATCTACATCAAACAATGATAAGGTCATTCTTGTCCACATCGGTGGAAAGGGCTACCTACCGTATGTTGCTGTAGGAGTCTGATACCATATGGACTTGATGAGAGGTACATTAAGTTTGTGTACAACCAGAGGCAATAGGATGGGCATGGCAAAAGGTAATAATGAGGGTTTTGTACATGAATTATTTCCCTTTGGAGCAAGCTACATACTCTGTACTATCTTGAATTTAGACGGAATCCTTCACAGAACTTTATTGAAAAATTTGTTTAAATGTGACGAATGCCAGACAATACTTCTTTCACAAAGGCATTTCCTCAAAACACTTGCACAAATAAGCCCTGAAATCCTTTGTCAAAAGACTCCCTAATCAGTTATACAGAAATTGGATAATAATCAACAAGGCAGTATTAAAGTGCACTACATATGTTTGACATGAAATGTTGTTCACGTTTCTTTTCATAAGTCATTTCATGTGCACTCAATCTCCTTGTTTCTTCTTGCCATTTCAGTGACGAACCTCAACCTAGTTCCTTTTTCAATCAAGCTTTTACTCTATTGTGTGAGAGCGCCATCGAGCCATGCATCATTCTATTGGGCAGTATCATGCTTTTGAATGAGCTCCTGAGATTGTTCCATCAAGCTAGTGGAAACTTGTGAAGGAAAATTACAGGCAACAGCTACAACAATTCAACTTGCGTAAAAGTTGACCAATGGGATGGCAAATATGCAACCAGACTGCGGTCCACTAAAGATTATTCCCTAAGTACATGTACATCATATCTCACCACTGGAGCCAGTGGGCCACAGATGGCTCTTTGAAGTGGATGAACTCAAGATTTGTTGGATGGGGGATCCTACTGCTTCATCAGAAACAAGTAAACTGTTCGTGAAGGAACTCAAAAGTGCAGCACAGGGGCCTGTTGTTGCAAGAACAATGAAGTCTTCTGCATAGAGCTGTGCATGGCTGTTAAGATTGTGTAAACCAAACCAGTTTAGACTTACATGTAGAGCATGCCGTTCTGAACGATGCAGATAGTGATTTGTCACTGATCCCTCATCATTGCATTGGGCAACATTTAGTGAGGGTTTCTGTCGAGTTCTGTCTTCCCTTGTTTTGAGTTAGCTGCATCCTGCGAGTGCCTTCCCTTTGTATTAAGCAAATTGGGGAAATATAGATTTGTTCAGTTCTTGCAACTTTGTTTCTGTGTTTGCCAGTTCAAAACCTGTTTGGTTACATTGTATTTCTTGTTTACATTAATCCATTCCATTCATATTCCCCTAAGCCTTCCGGCCAATAGCATTTTGTTTTGATCCAAATCCAGTTCTATATGAGTGAAAAATAGACTCAGTAGGAAAATTGAGAAACACATTTCCTGGTCACATAATTAGTTCAGAGTTACATGTACAGGGGCTATTGTACTTGCATGCCCATTTCCCAAACAGTTGAAAGTATATGATTTGTTTACCAGATCAAACTGAATGTAACAGCAACAGTCATAAGTCGTATTTACATGCACATTAGATATCTTTTAGGAACAAGTTTTTCTGTTAAATTTTGCATCAAATCATCTCCTGTGATGTCCTCTTTGGATACTGTAGTTTGAATTCTTGACATTCATAGAGACTTTTAGTTTGTCCATTCCTAGTTTTCAAGAGCTCATCACAGGCATGATCAGCAACAACGGTGGCCCTGAATAATGACATACCAGTACATGTTCATGAATACTTCTATAATACATTACATTCAGTACGTGGGTGATGCCACAATTTAAAATTGTATTTATTCTAATCAAAGAAGCTACATTTGAGTTTTGAGGCTCACAGGAATTTGGACTAAGTGAATAATTATGTTTAAAATCATTTTTAATGAATTTTATTCAAAACCATTAAAACAGTAGTAATAAATGTATATAAATCTTCCTGCCAAAGCCTGAAAAGGTGATGTTAATATCATCTGTTTCCTGACTTCATTTTGGTCTAATGTCGCAACTTTGAAATGCACCAAAATTCCACCAAAAGTGAGTGGATTTGAAAGCCCAGAAAATTTGGAATAAGAGAGTTATAATGCATATTTAAAAAACATTTTTAAATGAATTGTAATTCAAACAATTAAAAATTATAGCAATAAAACTTCTTGATAAAGCCTGAAAAGTTGATGCGAAGCATGACTGGCTGTACTTGGCAGCAGTGAGGAAGACCCTCGCCTTCATCTCATAGGCAAACACAGATTTATTCCCTTAGTAATAACCTCATTCAGAAGCTGCTATTTATGCATATCTGCAGTTTCCTTCAATTTCTTTAATCTGTCTTGCTGGCCATGTCCATTATTTGCAGCTTTAAAACAACCAAGCTATGTATCTTGTAAAAAGTTAACACATCAAACTATACCTTGGCAGTAATGGGAAGACTGTAATAAAGACGTCAGTGAGACTTTGGAAAATTGAATGCATTTGAAATTGGGCTTTTTTATGTGGTAACAAACGTGTTTAACAAGTCATGACTTTAGTGGGGTATATATGTACATTTATGTTGCCCTTACATTTATATTTAAATGAGTATAGTTTTCAACTTTCAGAAGTGTGATTCTTTCTTAGAGCAAAGTACCTCAGCAATTTCCAAAATGTAATTGCAGAGGGTGTTTCATATCCCATTGAAAATTGTTTACTTTTGGTCGTCATCTTTAATTACAGATATACTGTGGAACCCCCAAACAAGCATATTCCATTTGCCAGATCAATCACATTTAAAATTCTCAAAGTTGTGCCATGAAACTTCTCAGTAAGATGATTGGCAAGATTTTCTCACCTTGAGTGCACAAATTTTTTGACAAAATTAATTGCTTGTGGTCTTACAGTCTGACACATTCATGGTTTTCAAATCACTCTAGTACATGTATATGGAAATTTGGGGTGGATGTAATTACACATAAGCTCAATCACAGATTCCTTTTCCCTTCTTGCAAGGTCTCAAGGCTAACAATGCCCTCAAAAAATCACAATTTCTGTTAAGCTCCTATGTGATCTGGTCAACCAGTTACATGTATTTGGGGTCAACATTTCTGTGTCTGTGTTTAGTGCAATCTTGACTCTTGCCGCTGTACTCCCTCCTGAGTTGATTATCCCATAATTATCCTGAATGGATTCCATTCCAAGGCAAATCAAATCAGGATGGATTACAGTAAATTTGCACAAAATTCAAGATTGCACATGCACATGGTACGTGGTATATACCTGTGAGGGTCATGGTAGGAAGCTAATACACTTGATGCTTAGTAATTTCCCTTACAAAAAATTCATGATCGAAATTAGCCATCACCAGTGTGCCTGTACTGTAGCAGAGGGTCTATGTAGGAGCAAAATTGGGCCTTCTGGGGTTCTCTTGAAAGTGAATCCATAATGAAACAGCTTTTTAAACCTGTGAACTTTTTCAAGCTTAAAAAGAAAGCCTGGAGCACTTCCTGTACGGTTAATCCACATCTCCACATAACAAAACCTTCCATGACTTGGAGCACGGCCGTTTGTTCTTTAGGTTCCCCAGCTCTTGTCTCCTAGCCAGAAACCATGCAATTAAGACACTTCCCTGCCCACATGGGCGACGAGGAGGGGTTTATTAATTTTCCTGTGTGACTTAATTTTGGGTAGCAATTTATCAAGAAACCCCAGTTATGAGGATAGATGGGTGGATGTCACACATACAAGTCAATGGCTGTAGAAGGTGAAAGGACCCAGTAAGGATTCTGCTTGTTGTAAAATTGCAGAGTGCCGGATACATAGGATGTAATAATAGCCTTTATTAAAAAGCTTGTTCCTGTGCAAAACCTTGTTGCTGAAAAACAACTGCTGGTTGCTCAGAGTCCTCCAGAACGCAAAAAAAGCACTTTACATGTGCTTTAGAAATTAATTTCCTCAGAAAGAGTTGCATTTTTATCTTTGTATGGCTTTTGCTAGATAAAGTTTTGTATCAAATAATAGGAAGGTAAAGGTTTTTTGCTTTGTTGGCTTTCTACATACATGCAGTTGCCGAAAAGGTATTTTTTTTCCATTCATGAAACTCTTTGTGAAAACAGGGATGAGTTGCATAATTTGGGGTTATATACATGTATGTATCTTGATGACATTATGTTCTGATTTATCATAGATGCTTAAACACTGAAAGATTGAAACTTCTTTTCCAAGTTTCATAGCCTGCTACCGTATATGTGTAAAATCTAAATCCAAACTTCTTTTTTGCAATTTTTATGTTCATGTGCAGTAGTTGGTAAAACATAAGCGATTCACAAGATCAGAATGAATGTGCACCATTCCAATAAAACTCATTAAAAAAAGCTCTGATTACTGGTAATTAAATGTAGATTACTTGTATCACAGAGCTATAAATAGGCTTGTACGTGTACCGGTACCTGTATATTGTACAGTGTACTGAGCGCGTACACCAAAAAGAAATATCTGGATTGCAACATTGGGTAATCTGCATGTATGATATTATCATGTTATAGAACAGGTCATTACTGGGATTTAAACACAAAGTACATGTAGAATGTTTTATGAATAAGCTAGAACATCATCCTTCATTTCTTTTGTGGTTGTCTTGTTTTTATGGATTCATTATTTACATGTACATGTTTGGATTGATATGTGTTGTTTTTTGTTTACTGTGGGTTTTCTTTTGATTAATGGATTTTGCCCCTTGCTTGTGTAGAGTAATTTCATACATGTAATTTAAGTAGATGTATTTCCTATCCTGTGTGGAAACCGGGGAGGAAAAAAGAAGTCACAAACGTAGTACATGTAACAAGTACTGGTCAGCTTTTTATTATTCTGCTCACTAGTACACCTACATGTACAGATTTGCAAGTCAAATCTTTCTTGACTTTATAAGAAGCTTGTTTTCTTTACTGAAAATGAAATGTAGCAGTATGTACCGGTTAGCTTGAATGTGGTTTTGATTTCTTGAATCAACAGGTACACCAGTTAACCGTATTCCCATCATGGCTAAACAGGTGCTAGACCTGTATGAGTTATTCAACCTGGTTACATCCAAAGGTGGTTTGGTGGAGGTTATCAACAAGAAACAGTGGCGGGAGATTACCAAGGGGTTGAATCTCCCAGCTTCCATTACTAGTGCTGCTTTCACCCTCCGAACACAGTAAGTTACAAGTAATCATAGACCTCTGACACACTGCAATGTTAGGCATCATTTTCATTTGTCAGTGAAAACTACAGTTTTGGAAGGAATTTTGCTGATTGTGTTAATGAAATGTTGTATAATTAGACTTTGTAGAAATTTTTCTTTTTGGGAGGGTTAGGTTTACCCAATTTTATACGATGCTTGAAAGATTTTCATCATCTAATTGATGGCCTGTAAATCACGCGTCATTGAATTATTAGTTCCATGTATCAGTATGGCAAAGCTTGTCATAACAAATAGGTTTATTCTACTGTAAATGGAACATTATATTCCAGAATCACAAGAAATTTAGAATTTAGAACAAATGATGAATGTTTCATCTTCATGTTTCATGTTCATGGATTGGAAAGAATAATTGAAGTAACATGTGTAATGGAAAACTCCGTCTGTCACCTCATGAAATTATTTTAACTATTGCAGTTGTATGTATTCATTATTTTCTTATTGCTCTGTGGAGGCATTTTACTCAGGGTCTGAACTACTAGACAGAATTTTTTTTGTCTAGTAGTTCAGACCCTGAGTAAAATTCCTCACTGGAGCTACTTGGGTTGGGTTGATAAATTAAACCCTCAGCAAACTTACGTCACCCTGGTTTGAATTATTTTTATTTTCTAACCCCATGTTTAACCCTGCATTTTTTCTAACTCATTTCATGCAGACCAAATTCACTTCACCCAGGGTGAATGTAACCCAGAGAATAGTTTACACTTGAATCTTTTACAGTTACCGTTAAGGGCAAATATTTGTAAAGTGCTGTGTTTACATGTATGTATTGCATCATCCAGACGTCCCCTGTAAACTACTGTTTCGGCCATCATATGAATGCTTAGAAATTCCTAGTGATCCTCTTCATAGCCTGCCAAAATGTCAACAGGTGTCCGAAATTTGATTTTGTTTCTTAAGCTTGTTTGGCTTCAGAACCACAAATGAAAATACAAAAATGATATGCAGTGGTGGACTGGAAAAAGTTTACCACACTCAAACTTAATCTTGCTGAGCCCACCAGTCCATGTCTGTTGAGAGTTTTGTCCAGGGGGGGGGGAAATCTTGACCCTGGTCCAGAGACAGGTTGAAGCCAAGCCTCGATGGGGTTAGCTTGGGGTAAGTTGTAGGTTGAAAAATTTCAAATGTGAAACGCTCTGGTGGTTTTCAACCCTACGTCAACCTTGAATCAATCCTAAGATTTGTCTGGTGTGAAATAGCCTTAACTTTTGGGGGCGGGGGCAGGATTGAGAGGGGATACATGGGTAATAACAGTTTGAAATGGAAAAAGACTGCATTGGCTAGGGAAGCCAGTTATGTCAAGCTTGTTTATTCTTCTGTTCAAGTACTTTCTTTTTTCCAAGGCCTCTGTTCTTTACAGTTCTTTACCAAGGCATCTGTTGCTCTCATTTAGCTGTGTCTTACTGTGGAATATTTACAGATCAGAAACATTTGTGAGGAGGTGATTCCATAAAACTTTTTTCAACATTTTGAAAAGTACATGCAAATGTTTGGGAGAGGGAGGTTTTTGTGGTTCATTGTAAAATGCTGTCAATTTGGAGTAAAGCATAGTCAACATTTATTCTCTGATGCATGGATCTTGTGTGTACATCAAGAATGTTGCTTTATTTTATTCCAGCCATGCCTGTTTATGGTGATTTGTACTAGCCAGATGAAGTTTACTGTCAGTTGTGGGTGCAGAAAACCACTTTATCCCAATTTTCTTGGTTCTGGATCAAAGAGTTCATCAAAAAAACCACTGAGTGGCTCTGGCATTGAGTGGCAAGAATTTATTCAAAGGCATTGCACTATACAGGTATTCATCGCTGAAATGTCTGACACGTGTTATTAGAGTGGTCTGAAATGGTCTTGTTTTGCTGTAATTGTGTATAGTCGCAAGCATTCAACCGCTGATAATGCAACTGCTATAAAAACGATACTTGTAAAGTTGAGGGCCATATGACATTCATAAGCCAGCATTTTATTTCACAAAACACAATAACGGATACATGTCACCATGGCTTGAATATTCCTCTGTAAATTGAGGCACTAAAACATGAGCGAGGACTTTATTATTATCAATAATTGAGCAATTATGAATGGCTAATCATGTGGAACATCTGGATGGGAAGCTGAGTCTCATTGCCAGTATTAGCCACAGCCATCTTGATGGCAGAATCCACTTAACCCCCCCCCCAAAAAAAACCAATACAAATAAACATAGAAAAAAATGGGGGGGAAAAATTTCACTTGTCGTAGAAACTGTTTGATCTTTTTTTTGGATTGTGGTACATCATCTTTCGCAGTATTTTGTGTAGAGTCAAAATTCATGTGCATAAATGTGCATGTATGTACTGCAGATGTAAGTACCGTATTGGCTTGCTTTGTATGATGTAAGAAGGAGGGAAACGAAGCAATCTGCTTTGTGTAACCTTTTCGGCTGGTAAACTGCTGTTGCAAATCAATGTTTCTTTGGACAGAAGCAGATTAAAGTGATAGCATACAATCATCACCTTGCTGAATACGCCATGTTCTGTACCCCAGCTCACATTTTGTACACTGTATCAGACATGGTTGTTACCGATAGGTGGTCATTATGAAGTTGGTGAAGTTGGCTAATCACATTGGAAGTTCCACACATTAATTGTCTTTTCTCTGCTTGTCTGTACATATTATGAGTGGAAAATATCAGTTGCCTAGGGTAACAAGTTTCACATGACACTTTATATATAGATGACTGCACTGTGACTTGATTTGACTCAACCTCCTTAGCCTGATGACTTGTCTCAACATTTCTGGCCAGATGACTAAAAGCAAATAATCACCTGTATGAAGTGCCAGTTTTAGAATATCTCAAAAACCGTTAAAGTGAGACAGTGTGGGTGTGCAAACTTATCTTGACTTCTGTACTTTTTTCCTGTGAAGTTGAGCATTAGAACTTGTACTTTCTATGTTCACTCTGTAATGCACGTAGAGTGTAGACAGTAAATTGGTAAATATTTATTATGGGTAATCCAAGAAAATACAAAGAACTTAAGATCTCTGATCCAAGCTGACTTTACATGTACATGTAAGTTTTGCCAGAGGCACAAGGACAGAGTGTACCGGTAAGTCTCTATGCAGTTATTGCATAGGATTTATTGTGGCATTTTTATGAATGTTGGGTACATCTATCTTTCTGAATATGCAATAATTTTTGTATTGAAAAAAAAATCCCCAGACATCCTTTGTACATGTCCTTTGTAGTGTAGTGTTGTTGTCACGCAACATGGCCCTTCACAGACACAAATTTAACTAGTGGAAAGAACAGTAAATACATACTTCAGAATCCACGAGACCATGTGAGGAGTGGAGCTGTGATTGAGAAGCCCCTGAGGCAGTTTTTGTTGCCCCACCAAGTACATTGTATAATTCCATTCAATTATATCTAAAACTTGGTGTAGTGTACAAAATGGAAAATGAAATGTGTTTGTACCTCCGAGAGAGTCTTCTCTTTGTGCATGGAGAGACATGGACGGCATCTAAAGATACAATGGTTCAATTGCAACAGCTGGCTTAGTTCATGTCAACTGACCGACTTCATTATGTTATCAGACTTTGCTGTATGTCTTTAAAAAATGAAATACATGTAGTTTTTATGACATCATGCTTATACATGTATTTCTCAAATACCCTAATTTCAGGTATATTTGTATGGCATACCAAAACTTTTATCAAAAGAAAAACGCACACTCCCAAAATCCCAAACCAACAACCAATAACAATAATCTCAAGTCCACGAAACCCTAAGAATCCAAACCCCAAAACCAGTAATGCAGGACTTGATGAGTCCAAACCCTAATCAAGTCTGCACTTGAGTGGACTTCTTCTTGTGACTCGGCTCAAACTCAGTGAGCTCAGCTAGGCTCAGACTTGGTCTGAAGTAAGCTTAACTATATCACTGCCAAAAGCCCAAACCTACTCCAGTGATTGTCTTTTCTGACAACTGCCGCCCTCTCCCACCTGCTCCTGACTCCTCCCATCACCATCCTACTATGGTGGAAATGATGAGGCTGACAAACTGTACCACGGAATGACACCACTGGCATCTATTGCATTGCCCTTCATGTACCAAACAGGAAATCAAGAATTTGTCATTAGTTTGAAAAATATATGTACATGAATGAAAGACACTTCGGTGAAATTTTCACTGCATCCATCAATCAGATGCATGGCTGTGTGTCAGTATCAGTTGGTATGTTGATCATATACATACATGTACATGTACTGTACATACAGTACGTACTGTATTTCAGTACCCTCCCATGCAGTGTTTGATCAATTCAGTCAGACTTTCAAGGTTAAAATGGTTTTTTAATACACAGTCACTCTTTCAGTGACCAAAATTTTTCTTTGCTAAGTAAAGTTGGCTTTTTGTTTCAAACAAAGCTCTGTTCTTGAAGAGTCCATGTAAAGTTTGAGTCACAGAGTTTGAGTAAATTCAAGAACGTGTTTGTAGTCACTTAATTGAAACAAGAATGATTTGCTACTTCAGCAGATGCCATGAAGATCCTGGCCTCTGCCATTACAAGAGTGGAATTTATGACATGGTCACCATATTTACACAATATTTTAAGATACCACAGCATGTGTATAGATTTGAAGTCAGCATTTGTGTTGGAATCGGTCCAATTGCATTGTACTGTTAAGTACACAAAAGCATGCTTATTCGTGATTCCTATGTCATAGAGAGTGTACTTGTAAGCATTAAGCCTACCATAACCATTGCAATAAAAGTATTGGGATCTTACAGACAGAACTTGCAACTAATAGAAGTTGTACAATGTATAGTAGTTGAGCAGAGGCAGTTGATAGTTTCATTCACATCCACTGCCTTCTTGAAAGACTGTACTAATGGGTAATCCTTCATAACATATTGGGAATTGTTTAGCATTGTGGGTAGTTACTACCACAATCAAAAGTTGGTACCTTCCTATATGTACACACTGTGTTCACTCAGTAATGGTGACCCTATGTCACAGTCGCAACAAAATCTCATCCCAAGTAAACTCAAAAGAAAAGTGTTACCAGAGCCTATGGAAAGGCAGTGTGCGTGCGTTTAGGAGAAATTGACTGGCAGCTTATATGCCTTAGGTTTAAGTCCCACTTTAGTCAACCTTACATAGCTCATCAGAAATTTTGGCAATTAGCTCATTGGAAGAGCAGGTGATAGATACGCACTAGCCTGGGCTTGAATAACCCCCTACAATTATCTGTGAGTGTCACATCCTGTAGATAGAATATTTATCTGAACTGGGTCAACTCAAGTAAAGAACCCTAAAAACAGAGTTGCAGTGCCCGTACTCATTCTCATGAAATGTATTTGTATGCAAACAATTCCATGTACTCATACTATGGGTTAAGAACTGGGGCCAATTTCATAGAGCTGCTTAAGCACAAAATTTGCTTAAGTGCAAAAACAACTTGCTTAAAAAACAAAGGTTACCAGCTCAAAATCTATGTGATTGTCATACTAACCAAAAGACAGGTGAATACCATTCCAAAACAATATATATCACATGGAGATTTGGCTGGTAACCTGATTTGTCAAGCTGGTTTTTTCACGCTTAAGCAAATTTTGTGCTTAAAGCAGCTCTATGAAATTGGCCCCTGGTATGTCTCTTTGTTCTCATCTAGAAGTGCAATGTTTACTCATGCTTATGCTACAATACTGCCTGGATAGCATTTTCTGGCTGGTAGCAACATATGCCAATGAGGAATTCAGTATCCAAGGAAAAAGGAGGCTGATGACTGAGAATGTTACTTTATGTTACTGTCTACCAGATATATGAAGTATCTGTACCCCTTTGAATGTGAGAAGCGCAAGTTGAGTACTCCATCGGAGCTGCAAGCTGCCATTGATGGTAACCGGCGTGAAGGTCGTAGGCAAGTCTACACCACCAATGCAACTGGTTTTGGGCTGTCACCGCATTCGCCTACCCTGCCCACCATGATACCCCACCCATCAGTCATTCCGCACAATGTTAGGGACTCGCCAGAATTTGGTAAGCTTTTGGATTTTTTAAGTATAGGAGAAAAATGGAGGAAATTTTTAAAAATCCCCTCAATTTAAAGTTGACACAGCCAGAAAGGAAACTAAATTTGATTTTTTTAAAACTGCTCCTCTTGCACCATGGAAAATTTAAAAAATGGTCAAGATCTGTGAACGTGACGTATTTCTGTCTTCATGTCTCCAACAGAAGAAGAACGTGACGCCAGGGATTTTCCATTCTCCAGATCATTTATGCAGCCACGGATGGCTAAACACCCTATGAAGCATGCCCTCTATGAGGAGCCACTCACACCACCACCAAAGCGCCCTCTGTTGACTGATGAGCAGCACCATCGCTACCTGCTGCAGCAACAGCAGCACCAGATGGTGCCTCCTGCTGCACATATCAAAGTCACAAGTAATCACGGTAAGATTCCATGGATACTGTAATTGGCCTGGGCACCTTACATTTACCACCAGTCTACTCTGAATGTCTTCAATACATGTGCATTTAAATTTCATTCAAACCGCATACATGTATATACATGTAGCAGTCAGTCAGAGCTGTTTCTGAAAACAGGGGCATCATCTTGGTTGGTCATCTTGGTCATCATGAGGTAGCCGGTTACAATGTAGTTGATACCTGTCAGGTGACCTTTAGTGTCAATATACATGGAGGGACCTTGTAAGAGTTTACTGTCAATGTCAAATAATCTGATGCATTAGGTGCTTTTAGTCAGGAAAAGTTCAGTCAGCACTGGTGCCCACCACGGGATTGGTTATAAATTTAACTACATGTATGTATATACCAAATGTCTGGGTATGTTTCATCATGCAATGGTAGTTCTGGTATATGTATGTCCATTTCTGGAGGTCATGTAACCCATTGAGTGGACTCATTGTGGGTGAGTAGCGTCCACCAGGCAAACGTGACCTGGGATAGCCATGCATGTATTTTGCTCAACAAATGAGACTGTGTGGATGAGGTTAAATCCAAGTTGATTGGTGGAAGCTACTTGAACCCACCCATTGAGCATGGGATGCTTTGAACAGGTATGGTGTGGAATGTGCACTTAAAAAGCGTAATCTTTGCCTGACAGTGTGGAACTTGTGCTGGTGGTGCTGATTTTTTTTCGCAGTCAATTTTTTTTCAACCAATATCAATCATATGACAATAAAAATCATCCACAAATTGTGCATGATTTAAAAACTTGCAAGATACTGTGCGTGTAAATGCATTAAATACCAATGATGGAGTTAGTCCTCATATCCGAGTACAGAGTACTCTGAATACATTAGGTGCCAAGTCTTGGACCAAGTACAACTACTCTGGTGACAAGTCTGAGTCCAAAGCATTGAGAATGAGCGCATTCAGAGCTGAGTACTGGGTCGAGTCTGAGTACCCAACATGTACATTTACAATACCAAAAACACATACATGTATGTATATTACTTGAACAAACACACCATAAACATACAACAATCACCTTTACCAAGTAATTTACACTTTCAACTTTTATGTGTGCAAAAATGTTTACATATTGACACATCAATGAATTCTCTGTCGTTTTGTGTTCACTGAGTGTTTTCATTAAAATGGGAAAAAAAAATCATGGATAACTTGACAGCCTGTGTCTAAGAATTGCAAAGAGAAAAAGTAAAGTGCAATAGGTTAGGACAAAACTCGCATATCTGAAATCACAGACGAATTCAACTATGAAAAAGCTACACAAAAGTGAAACAAAACCTCTGTCAGTGTCAATCCATGTGTGTTCACAGTGGCAAATAATGCAACTCTCACGGAGAATGAACTCGGCTCATATCAGCGCTACAATTTCCTATAGCAAAAGCTGGGGAGGCAGAAACTAGACTAGCAGAAAGGCTCCTTGTACCCAGGACACAGTAAGCAGTTTGTGCGTGTTAAAGACTACAGAGTGAAAGTACTGTTTCGCATTGTGTTATGTTCAAGGTTGAGCTTTGAAATCTCCGCTCAACACCGCTATTGATAAAAAAGTGAATTCTTTTTCTTGAGTACAAGGGTCGAGTACTGAGTACCTGAGGGTTAAGTGTACCCAAAATCTGAGTACAAAGAATCAAGTATGGGCCAAATACAATTAATTTTTGAGTACTGATAATTGAGTATGGGCTGAGTACTCTGGCGTACTCGAGTTATACTTGAGTACGAGTAAGAGTACTCCAACACTGATAAATACTTATAAATGGCTCGGGGAAATACTTTCTTCCTGTTTCAAGCTGGAACAGATTGTTTGGTCTTCTTTCAACCTACCCTAAACAGTTGCTAAATATGTAAATTCCTTTGCATCTGATTCAATTCGCTAAAACTTCTGATGAACCATAGTGCACCCTCTAGTCCCATGATGCATAGCAGAATGACCGCCATGTTCGTCCTTCTTTTCCTTGGATGATTCTAAACAGACGTGTCTTTTTGACATTTTAGAGTTTATCAACTTTCCGTTTCGCTCCACACCTTTGTGATATTCTAATCAAACCGTAACGTATTGTAATAAAAGTACATTCTATATTTCTGAGTTAATGTGTATATTTTCTTGTTTTGGTGGTATATTTTCTCTTCTCATGTGTGTGCATTTTATAGATTGTTGACTCTACGTGATTACTACCAAGCGATACATAGGGTCAACGGGGTGACCCTGGGGTTGTTGGGAGTCCCGTGAGGCGGTGCAAGCGATCTAATACTGCAGTCCCCCTTTTTCCTTGGCATATTTGTAGCGTCAATGAGGCGACTGTGGGTTTGTTGGGATTCATGGGGAAGTGCGAGTGTTGCGAATTCCGTGACCTCTATAGACCGACAGGAGTCGGTCTGCGGAGGATTGAGTGGCATCTTGCTAAACTTGTGATCCCGCGGCTAATCCCGGCTGGCAATGCAGTGCTGCAGTGCGTGCGATATCCATATGCTCAGTTATTCAATGTAACACAGAAGCATCGTAGTCAACGATAATGCAGAGTGGCACTGCACTCCGTGGTGAATTTTTCCCCTGCTTGCTGGTTCTAGGCGCAACACTTCTGCATCCCAGTTCCCCTGCATTCCAAACGGGTGACGCAGGCCGACAACAAGCTGCTGAGGGCAACACCTAACATCGCCATGGCTCACAAGTCTATGCGTCGGAGCGGCCCCACGCCACCAACGCTAGCTACTCCGGCTGCACCTCGCCAATCCCGTCCTGATGATTGCCAAGCTCGACCCTTCAGACCTCCACGTCAGGGCAGTTATGGTTCCTTTCACCCTTTTTGTCAACCCAGTTACCAGACGAATCATGGCCTTCCATCCTCCTCTTGATTTACCAAGCCACCCCAGAGGAGCTTCAAAGGAAGAACCAATGAGCCACGCTACCCCTGACCTCCTGGGGGTAGGCGTCGCAGACTATTCAGATTTGCCTCCACCTGCCGATCTCAGACCCGTTGGCGGGGGACTTCAACTCTCGTTGACCATTCTTTACGAATACGCCCTTGAATTCACGTCCGTATCTATCCTCTGTCCGACTTCAGTTCCTATTGACAAATCAAACGACTGGCACTGGAGTCTGAGATAGACTCTCTCCTTCAGAAACATGCTATCCACCCAGTTCCCAAATCTCAAGCGAACAAGGGCTTCATTTCAATGTTCTTCCTCATTCCAAAGAAGGAACTCAACACCTGGCAATTTATTATCAACCTCGAACCTCTGCACCGCTTTATCCGCCTGAAGAAATTCCGCATGGAGACCCTTTGGACAGTCACCTAATCTTTACAGGTACCGTGCTGGGCCTCTTCCATAGACTTGAAGGATGCCTACCTTCACATTCCGTTTCACCCACGAAGCTACGAATACCTACAACAGAAACCTCTTCGAATTCACGGCTCTCCCTTTCGGCCTCTCCACCTCACCGTGAGTGTTCTCAAGGGTTGCAAAGATAGTCGCCGCTCACCTTCGAAAGTGGGACATCATGCTGTTCCAGTACGTGGACGACTGGCTGATCATCGGCAGATCGTTCAACAAAGCAGAGGTTTCTACCCGCCTTACTTGTGTCATCACAATTGACTGGGCTTCATCATCAATCACGGGAAGTCAAATCTCACCCCAACGCATTACCCAATGTATCTAGGGGCATCTATCGACCTTCAACAAGGCATAATCTCACTGATGACCGAACGCATCAGCAATCTTCTTGACCACGTGAAAGTCTTCTCTACCGAGCAGTCTGCTCTGGCCCGCGCCTGGCCCCGTCTCCTTGGCTTGATGGCCAGCATGGTGGATCTCATTCCCCTCTGCAGGCTGTACATGCGCCCACTGCAACTTCATCTCTTAGCGCTTTACAGGCCAAAATGGGACTCAATCAATCTCCAGGTCCTCATATAATATTTCATCTGCCCCCATCTATAGTGGCAGTTAGGGAAGGAGCACCTCTCTCTCGGAGTTCCCTTCCCTAAAGTGAACCCCGAAATAGCTATAACCTTGGACACTTCTCATCTGGGCTAGGGAGCCTTTCTATTGCAGTTTAGGGTTTATGGGACCTTCAGCTCCAAGTGAGTCACATCAATATACTGGAACTTCAGGCCGTATTCAATGCACTGAAGGCTTTCTGCCCAAGCATCATAGGCAAATAAGTCCTCATCCACTCGGACAACTCCACAGTGGTGTCATACATCAATCGCTAGGGATGCACACATTCACCCTGCCTGTGCCTCCTGATGAGACAGATATTCCTTCGGACCCAGGATTATGACATTGACCTCCAGGTGACTCACATTCCTGGTGTTGACAACTCCATAGCAGATGCTCTCTCTCTCGGGGAAAGGTACGTCCCTCGGAGTGGACTCTGCACACCAGTGTAGTCAAACAGATCTTCACCGAAGTAGAAAAAATGAACATCGATCTTTTCGCCTCAGCAGAGTGTTCTGCACCAGGTTTTACCACCTGCAACCCTGGGTAACGAATGCTCTTCAAAGCACTTGGGAAGGGATGTTGGCCTACGCTTTCCCTCTAATATCCCTAATACCAGCAGTTCTCTCCAAGATCGAAAGGGAATGCTGCCCCGTCCTTCTCATTGCCCCCTTCTGGCCACGCCAGCCGTGGTTCCTGCATCTGACCTGACTTCTCATCTGTGTACTAGTGATCCTTCCTCACAGACCGGGTCTGCTATATCAACCGAAGTCAGGCGTGCTTCACCCTCATCCGACGTCACTACACCTGACCTGTTGGCTGTTGTCAAACAGTCCTTCAGATCAGCAGGACTTTCTGATGAAGCTGCCAAAATGGCCTCGAAGAGTCAACGCCAGTCTACACACAACATCTATGACTCCAGATTATGATATTTTACTTTGTGGTGTTCAGAGCGAGGTCTTTCTCTGACTGAAGTTTCTGTGACCTCTATAGCTGACTTTTGATTCATGCACCTGTTCAAATCAGATCTTCAGGTTTCAACTATCTGTAATTAACGGTCAGCCATTGCGGCCATACATGATGGCTTACCAGATGGTTCGACTGTGTCCAACAATACTGCTCTTAAACATCTACTCCGGGGGATTTTTCTTGAGCGTTCCCCAACTAAAAGACTAATTCCTTCATGGGACTTGTCAGCTGTCCTCCAACTGCTTGCTGGTCCTCCCTTTGAGCCTCTCAGCGACGCATCGTTGATCAACTTATTGGTGAAACTGGCATTCCTGCTGGCAGTTACTACCTCACAGTGAACTGAGGGCATTGTCCATCTCAGATGGCCACATCCGATGGAAACCCTATGGTGTTCATCTTATCCCAACACTTGCTTTTCTCACCAAAAACCAGTCAGTTTCCTTCCATCCTCCTGATATTTTTGTACCAAACATTACCAAAAACACTGGCACTCCCGACGACAAACCATGGTGCCCAGTGCGGACTCTTAAATGGTACTTAACCAAAACCAGAAACTTCAGGGGTACAACTTCGCAGCTTTTCATCACCACAGTGAAACCTCACCGAGCTGCAACCAGAGACACTATAGCCAGATGGGCAGTTTTAGTTATCAAGTTTGCCAACCCAGATTGGCAGAACTCTGTGGACACTTCGCCTCATCAGGGCTCATGGTATCCGAGCAGTTTCCACATCATGGGCTTACTTCAGGGGCGCACCGATGGAGGAAACATGCAAGGCAGCCTGCTGGCAGACCCCATCTACTTCCACCACATGCTACCTCACCGATGTTGTACAAAAGGACTCTGCGCATGGCAGAGCGGTCCTAACATCGGCTACATCGATGCCGAAGGGTTCCTAATCAAAGTGGCCCAACACTGGAGCAACATAACAACTCCATTATTTAGTGAGTCAGCAATAAAGTTTGGACAAGTTCATACTCCTTTGGCATTCTCATTATGTCCTCGCCGCACCCCCCTCCAAGGGCTCGGTCTACTCTGCATATTTAGCGACTGTTTGGGGTAGGCTGAAACCAGAAGACTCCTCCCCATGGAAATGTGGGTGAGGTCTACTATTGAATACCCGGCTCCCTCCCATCCTTCCCCACTGTTGGCTTGGATGGTTTGAATACCAGAAAAGAGGGATGAACATGGCGGCCATTCCGCTATGTTTCATGGGACTAGAGGGCGTACTACAGTTGATCAGAAGTTTTAGCCAATTGAATCAGACGCAAAGGAATTTACATATTTAGCGACTGTTTGATTCCTTAGCAGACCTCACCCACATTTCTGTGGGGGAGGATTTTGATCCTTGCGTAACCTGATAAAAATGTCTGCAAATAATTCTAATTTCCTTGAAAACCCATCACTATTCAATACCTGAAGCATCAGCACTGTGAACCACATGGAAACTGTCAGTTATCAGGGCTCGGATATTTTACTTATTAAACTTGGGTAGTTATCGAAAAAAGTATCGTGATCACGATAAATGGATTTCTCAGTTCTCGATTCAGCTACCAGTATAAGATACGCACAAAACATTTCTGGAACACGTAAGTATGCCTGAAAGTACCTACTAGTATGTGACCCATCACGACAAAATGAGTGTAAAGTCACATTCCGCTCTTTCCTATTTTGACGGTTCAGATAGTCAGATATTGAATTAGAGGTAAATTTTTTTTTTGCATTTTGTAATATTTGGAAAGAGTAAACTGCCTCCTTTTTAATTTAAAATTTTGTGTGGAATCATATTTAAAAATTTCATTTTTAATAGCAATTTTGACGATAGCGTTATTGTACCTGGTCAAAAATGTTGAAACAATGTTGAGAAACAAAGACGCAAAGCTACCAGAACAATGCATATTGTCACCTGACACTTTTTTCTCAAGTGTTCCTTGCACATGCCATTGAAAGGCTCTTTTTCTGCTGAATTCAAAAATATGAATATCTCAATTTCTGAAAATTCCAACAGTCAGCTCATTTTGTGGTGACAGGTCACATATGAACATGTCCATGTACGTGGCTAAGTTGGAGTCTTGGCATGCATTTACTGTTTTGGAAAATCACTGGTTCACCCGTTGTTGGAACATACACATAGGATAATGGCACCAGCAAAATTGTTGTTTGCTTCGCACATGATCTGGTTCAGGCTTGTTTGGCATTCAGCCCAAGGTTTTGAAGCCTCACTTATATTACATATTGCTGCAAAATGGGGAAAAGCAAACAAAGTATCGTCAGTTTCTTTTCAAATGCTATAGTTTTATAAAAATGATATTGGTGATGATATCCTGGTATTCATTCAGTATGTTCTCAAAAAGTAAACCATTCAAATCTTTTTTAGACAGTAACGTATCATGATAATAAAGTTGTGATATCATTCACCAGCAGTGCCAAAACCCATAGGATATATGCAGCACCATGAGGAAGTCGGCTTGTATTTGTGCAGGCCCTGTAGTGTAATGGTGGGACTTTATTGATTAATCTGATTTTGACTGCTCTGTCTGGTTTTGATTTGTGAAATGGATATTTGGAAAACCAAATACTGTGGGAGCTTCAGCTGTATTAGAGAAAAAATTACTTTTGCCTTTGGGGTTATCCAGTCTTAAACTTAATTTTTCAGGAATAAAAAACTTTCCCATCCATCCAAATTATACTTTAGATGGTTCTAAAGATGATTGCATTTGTTTTATCAGGCAGTGACTGCACTCGGCTCAGACTACTCAGCTTCCTGATGTTCTTGTGTATAACACAGTATGGCCCTGCTCCATCAAAGGAGCAACGTGCTGCACAACCACCTTGTGCATGGTTATGGGTCCCACAAAGAATATGATTATGACTATGGGACTTAATACAAGAAGACATAAACATCAAAGATTCCCATTTCATATTATTGGTGAAATTTGGGTCAAGATCAGAAGATTCATGTATGCAAACTGACGGTGATTTTCTATCAGAGTTGCAGGGGTGGGTGTTGACATGTTAATGGAAGGAATGCAGAGAGCAACGTAATCAAGACGCACACTGCTACGCGAACGTATGGAAATGTGCCAAACAGAGGTGTCACCAACAATGCAAACCAGCCTGCCAGCGATTGGCATGCTGGCATGACCAGCGTGCAACAATGTCCCTCTCACTTAGGCCCGCAAATTTTGGCCATTTTCTTCTTAAAAAAATTACACCCGTTTGGTCAACTAAATAGTTGACCATCAATGAAATGCATGAAACTGGAGTATGGGTTTGGCATCACGAGGAGGTACACTCAATCTAAAAGGGTACAGTATTTTCTGCAAAAAATCACTTAGTTTCAGATGCCAGATGGGGTGGAATGATGATGTTATGCACCATCTTTTCCATTTGTGTCTGCACCCTCCCTTCTTACTGACCATCTGCATTACAAACAACCCTATGGAAACCAGGCTTTACAGCAATTCCCTTGCACAATACTGGATAGTGTGAATACTTTTCTTAGTTATTCCTATGTATGGATATTGGAATTAGATTGCAGAGGTTGAAGATGTATACTATGGTGCCCTTACTTACCCGTATGCCCAAACCAGGAGTTGTAGTAAATTTTGCTCCACAACTTTGTCTTGGAGTGTAGATTTGGAATTATCCAGCTTGTCCCACCATCAGTATGGAGCCCACAAAGCCTTTGTATTCATTTTTAATGCCATGGATACTTTGAAGAAGGCAACATAAGAAATAAACTGAGACTATTTTGTTGAAAGTTTCCTGTGTTTTTGTCCTCTGCAGCTCAGCGTGACACAGGTCTCCCCCTATTTGAGCTCCGTGGAGATAATTCCCTTATCGTCAGCATTGAGCTTAACGGGGTGCTCTACCAAGGGGTCCTATACCCCCGAGGCACCCCTCTTCATGTCCTTACCAACAGGGCAACAGGGTCATCCTCCTGAGGTACCCCCTCGCATCACGTGATCTGACCATGTATGATCGACCAAGTCTTTCATTTTTATACACTTAGCTCTGCAGTAGCAGATCCATGTATAGTTAAGTTCTCTGAATGGAGTCGGTCTACTGCCATATGGTTTGTATATACATGCATAACATTGTATAGGGGATTGTAAAGATCATACATGTCCCAGAGATGTGTGGCTGTCCTCTAGACATCTCACTCCCATTACCATAGCAATTTAGGGGTTGTGTACATTTTGTGTCTTCAGATCTTCAGGGCCAAACTTCTAAGACCCTACAACATGCTGCATGGATGTTTGATCGTTCCTGTTTTAATCATCTAGTTTGCAAGCATTCCCAGAAACATAGGTGCCACTGAGCAAGGTTTAATCCTTTAAGAGCAGGGAAAAATTAACTCAATCAACTTTTTCATTGATACTCTTTTAGTGATGCTAATGCCGCACATTTTTGTATGAAAGTTTACTAACCTCCATGTTTTTCTCACCAGTTTATGCAGTTCAAAGCTGCTGTTCTCATGCATCATGAAATTTGCCTTTTAAAGTAACAAGTTTTTGTCTTCGTTGGTAATACAAAATAAAAAGAGTATGTTAACAGACTGGCTTTAGAAATGTTAACAAGGAAATTTTTAAAATGATGGTCAATTGAACTAAATTGTCGGGTTCACACACACACAAACCTACACAAAATTCAGTAACAGAGTAACTTGAAATTAGGTATGCTTGTAAGGTATAAGGACTGCAATAGATGTCAATACATTTTGTCGGGTTCACCACAAAGTGACATGTAGGATAGTTTGGTGCATAATGAAGTGACTTACCGGTACTGTCCATAGCCTTTGTACAGACGATACGTCACTCTGTGGTGTGGCAACTATGCACGATACGTCACTTCATGGTGAACCTGACAAAATGTATTGACATCTATTGCAGTCCTTATACCTTACAAGCATACCTAATTTCAAATTACTCTGTTACTGAATTTTGTGTAGGTGTGTGTGTGTGTGGGGGGGGTTTGAATTCCCTTACCTCTGTTACAGGCCAAGCCATATCAAAATGGTCCTTTCAGGGTCAAGTGTGCAGAATTGACTGAATATCTTGCACATAACAACCACTGCATTTATTCTGAATGCCATTTACTATAATTACTATGTGTGATAAGATCTCAAGTGACTTGAAGGATAGACATGGTGCACCATATAAATGGTGAAAGCAAAATCTGTGGTTAGAAATCTGTGACAAATGCCACAGTACCCAACCAATATAATATTGTAAAAATAAAAGAAGTCTTAATGGTCTCTTGGAAACTTGTACGTCTTTGAGTTCTGTGGCTGTGATTTATCTGAAGTGTCTGGCTTTCAGGCTGGGTCTCTGAAGGAAAATCTCTCTTTGTGTAGTATTAAATGAGAAAGAGTAACAAAGTGAGACTGATTTTTGTTGGGTAATACAATACTGAAGTGTGACATTACTTGAACCTGGAAGTGTAGAGCAAACAAATTGAGCACATGTGTGTGTTTTGGTTCATGCACTGGTTCTTGCGCAAATGCCTTTTACACACAGTTTACACACATAACTGTAAGCGTGACATAGAACTTCGGTATTCTATATGGGTGATGCACAGTACAATACGTCACCAAGAGGCTGCCAGGGAGAGGCCACTTTTCAAGTTAACAGTTGGTGAAAGCATGGCTGCCTTACCAAAATTTGCATTTTAGCATATGCATTTCAGCGTATGTCAGTAGACGACATACTGAAATTTTTGATAGCTTGAGATTTTCCATTCCAAAGAAAGAAGAAAAAAATTGCCACTCAAACTAGACTCACAAATCTTCTTCCCTGCCCGACAAACATCTGGAATAATTCAAGTTCTCCACAAGCAGCTGCTGAGTAGAATTTGTTGATCATTTCCCACAATGAATTGCAAATAAATGGCCTTTCCATGGCATACCCTTTTGTGGGTCACTGTATTGTGAATTACCCCTATTAAACTATAACAATGTTATTTCATGATATATTATGGTGTTAAATAATCAGTGGAGAACTGTTTTTCCCCATTGTATATATTTTTAAAGTTAACAGATAATTACAAACCTGGAAGAGTAAAAAGTGTTCTCATTGTTATGTAAAAGATAATAATTTTTAAAGTGCTGATATGAATTTTGCAGAAACTTTTTATTCCAATGTGACCATTTATCTGGGTAATAATGTTTTCTTTTTAAGTAGACTAGTGCTTCTCCTCAGTGATATGCTGTTGCCTCAGCAATATGAAATTTGGCAATACTGATTTGAGTATCTTATGAAACAAATCTGAGAATTGTTCCTTTTGGAAATTTTTCCTTGCGGAGGAAATGAGTAATTTTGCCTTTGATCTAGTGAAGCAGTTTGTGACATTCACATCATAAAGATAAATGTTGGTTATTTATGGATATGGTCAAAATCAGTTTAATGGTAGTCTTTTTCAAAGTATTTCATTTTGACATTTTCTTGACAATATTTTAATATTATGAAATTGGTAAATAAGTGTTATTACATGTAGGCATCATTTGATAAAATGTTATTGGTGACTCATTAAGACATTCAATTAATTTGAAAATTTTTTGTTGCTGCATTTTGACAATCATCTTTACTTACATAGTATTGTATACTAATCTCAAAATTGTTCATATTTATGTTGTTTACAAAATCTGTTCCGTAAAATATTAACTGAGATTTGACTACAGAGGCTTGATGACTGTTTATCAAAGTAGTGCTTGACTTGGTTGTCAAAATCACTTGTTGTACACTTACTCAGTGTGATAGCCTCTTAGTGATTCACAGTGGTTTTTATTATAAACCTGCAGTATTAAAAAATACATGAATTAGAAACTACTGTGAAACAATGTGCCTTTTAACTTAAATCCAAGATTTTAAATTGATTGCTTTTTGTGTTATCACTGGCAAACCCAGTTTCCTTTCATATCATCCAGACTTTCCATGAAATGCATTTACTTCCACGCACATAATCACTACCAGTGATAGATTTACTTGAACAAGACTCCAAGGGGTGTCGTAGATCCCAGACCTTGAAAATCCTACTGCAAAATTGTTTGACAATGAATTTGCTTTCCATTTGCAAAGTTAATTTTCATCCAACATTACTAAACATTCTGTGCAAGGCTTTCAAGCTGATAATGCATCAGGCGTTCTTGAATGTGGTATGTTTGAAATTGAAATAATGGATGGACATTGGAAGAAGATTCAAGAAAGAACTGATCTATACTTGTCAGTCATGATAGAAATTGTACGTTGCATAAAATACATTTATCCCTTAAGGAAATTACTGGCTTAGATTTTCTTGCTCGTAGTTGTTACTTGAAGTACATGTACATGTATTTCACTCCCTGCTTTTGAAATTTAGAAGACAAACATTTTGCTGGTGTAAGATGTAGCAAAATATTTTGATATTTGACATGAAGTATGTCAGAGTATCATTCCGATGAGATATTCACACAATTAATGCCTTGCCAAGTGGCTAAATATCCAACCAGCAATATATCCTGGGTATTTTGTAAGGAAAATTCTTTCATTGACTTTTTATACAAGAAATATTTTATGTATTCAGTGTTTGAATATATTTTTCTGTCGATCTATCATTGCAGCTATATGGTGTCACATTTTTATTATTTTAAGTAAATATTTTAGTCTTTTGATAAAATATTACCCAAGATGGCAGAATCATCTTTGTGCAAGTAATCATTTATTACTTGCAGATCTAGGGTGTGGAGTAAAATAATCTAGATTCTGAGTGATACACAGAATTATTTATTCCAATGTATCATTCTGATGTATGTAAATATTTTATTGAGTTCAGTGTACATTATATATTGTATTTTCCTTCCAAGGGCATATTATGTAGGTTAGCTTTTGAGGCTGTTGGGAATCACAGAGCCTGTAATATACAAGTATCTTTGATCTATTTTTTTGTTTTTGATTTTACCTTCTTTTAATTTTTTTTAAGTTTTGAATTGTTTTGATTTTTGTCTTTGTTTTGAGTGTATTTTATACTGTACAGAGACAATCATTGGTGTTAAAAAAATTGCCATGCAGAGAAGTATATTAAGAAAAGTAAATGGGTTTTGATTGGAAAAGGTGCCTTTGGTAAAAACATTCTATTATTGCAGGATTTTGTCGCAACTACTGCCTCATTGCAGCCTCTATGCAAGTGAGTTAATTTGCATGGTGCTCTGACAAGCGTAAAAACAATGACAGTGAGCCATAAACCAGTCTTTTATTCCGCAGTTGGTTTGATAAGTCATTCTTATATCATTTGAACTTTTTGTGCCTCCATTTTGGAATGACTGTAAGGGTCAAATTTGTTTGAAATCTACCAGCAGTCATTGGTTACAGGGTTTTTTTGCAGAAGGAAAGAAACCAAACAAAAGGAAAAAAGAATGCAGGTCCACATTATTTGGTACAGGATTTCAAACTAGTGTATTTCAAGGTGCAGTTGGTTCTAGTTGTGAAAATATTAGCTGTACTCTAACTTTAGGTGTTTGCATCCTTGTTACCATTGCCAAATTGTGTCTGTGGATTTTCTCTCTCAACACTAGTGACCTTTGGGTAAAATCTTCTTCTGTGTATGGTATGTACCTATCTGTTTCCCATTCTGTGCTGTAAGCAAGTGTTGTCCTCAGTATTGAATATTGCAATAAACATTGTCTTTCTAATAAAGCTGGACAAGTTGTAGATTTCATTGTTGGTTGAGCTGGAATGCTGAACAGCCATCCTTAATGTGTCTTTCAGTCCCCATATTAAACTGTGTACTGTCACATAGTGCCAAAAGTACAAGCTCTTACTTGAAATCAGCATCATGTGAGTGCAACATGGTATTTTGTAAATGAGTGTGATATAGTGCAGTTAGGCAATACCTATTTGATGACCCCATTGCTAGCTGCTCAGGGGACATGAGACCTTTTCAATTGGTGGTTCTTAACTAGAACTCCTGGACTTCTCAAAAACTTTTACCTCAACTCCTTTCAAAGTGAGTAAAATTTAGAAATATACACTGTACATGTATACCTTTGTGGAAATTTCTCTTTTGGGGAGAAAAAGAATGGTGTCTGATCCAGTAACTTCCATAATTTAATGTAATGCTTTCATGAATATTATAACAGATACTTTATGACTAAGAAAAGCAGGGAACCACAAATGACGAATATGAAAATGCCACAAAAATACTCCACTTACTGGTCAAGATGTGCATTTATTTTAGCATAGTGGGAATAGTTCAGGGAAACCATTGGATTAGTGTGTATTTGGTTCCCTTACTTTGATGAATGTGCTTTCACATCTGCTGATTTTCCCTTCCCCATACATACAGAGCATCCCTCAGTCAGTTTCTACCATATAATCATACTCTGTGCAACCCATGAAAGAGAATGAGCCAGTTTAATATTTCAGGTCATTTACATTTGAATGACTCTATCTGGGGCATACACTGTTGGAATACTGAACTGGCTCATTCATTGTCCATGGGTTTATGCATTCATTGTAATACTGATTTGACTGGCCAAAGTAATTCAAAAAAATCTCAGGAAGGAGTAGAGTTTATTTGAATTAGGCCTGTAATTTAATCTAATCAAAAAAATAATGCTAAAAATGCATCCTCTACAACTAATTGAGAAAATGTTACAGTTCCTGGTAAATTTTTTAAAATCATACTTAATTTCTGAATTTCATACCTTTTTTCAGTGTCAGAAAGATTCCATTTTTCACAGTATACTGATAAATGTAGTTGCAACTGCTTATCAACAAATTCCTGTGATTGTAGAAAACTGGTTAATTATATACATGCACAATTTCAACTGCAATGGATATTGAACTGGAACCAATCCCTGATACTGCTTTTGCATTTTTGTGGACTTAAAAGTTTATCACTACAATCTGTTTCCATGCTTATATTGTCATTGTTATTTCCTATTTAAATATAGAACTCAAACCTAGTGCAATTGCAGATTTTTTCCTGAATTAAGAAAAAAATCTTCCAGAAGGGAAATATCTTGCAATTTCATGTGGAGTTTGACTTTAAAGAGTATTTGGGGATAACATGATTTTTCGGGGAAGAAAAACCCACCAGTCCACAGATTTGAACCCAAACCTGCATCTGAGAAGCATAATGCTTTTACCATTACGCTACCATGTTTACTTACTGTTGTTTGGTTAATTTAGTAATTACTGACTGCATTACAAATAATTTATGACTGATTTACCATCGAATATAACTTTTTTTGGTGATTTAACAGCTATTTATTTGCTTTGCAAATACCAGGTAACAAAGACCACTCTGTCTGTGAAATATCTTTACTGTAATGAAAATAATCATGCATTCCCCCGTGTAACAATGTTGGACATTTCCCTTGGAAGAGTTTCTCACACAGAAACTGACACGTCCAATCTTGCTTTTTTACAAACATACACCAGCTCTCACTGCTTTGGAAGTCTAATCATAATGTGTAAGGCCGATAGGATGTTACCACTTTGATACACGTAAACACTGCATATGTGTTTTCATGCTCAGGTGCATGACAGCCACCCCTAAAAGAACTGATGGCAAAATAGCTGAAACATGTCAGCAGAAATGTGATGACTTTGGCATTTTCCCGGAACATTTATGAAATACAAAGTTCACAGAGATAGCCTGAAAAGTAGAAATTGATTAGACGTTAAACCACTGTATTATATGAACCCAGTTGCACAAAATTTGAAACGATTTCCGAAAAAGTGATTTTTTACAAAAAATAAACATGATCAGATTTAAGAGAAAATATGTCCATCGTCTCCCCATTTTAAAACAACTTTTCCAGATTATCCAGTATACAACATAAAGTGCCATGTGTATTAAGACCCGATAAAAACATTGGTAGTATTGTCAAGTTATTGCAAATTGAATATCTTACATGAGAATCATTTGTATGTAGTAGTGCATATATATGTATAGCTGCGTTGATGGAGTACATGTGCATGAATGTGCACACATAAATCATGGCCAACCGGTCGATAGAGAGCCAAAATTGAAATTGATCAAACTAACAAAGAGCAATTTGCAACAGCTTAAATATATTAACATGGTAACCTTTTTGAAACACTCTTTCAATTATCAAGATATGCAGCTTGTGTGAAACAACTGGAGACCAATTCAAATTTTCGAGTTTAAAATAACCCTTTTTACATTGTGAAATGTAACGTACACAAATACATTTCCCCCCATTTTTGCAAATGTCACGTATGATTAACAAGAAGCACATCACAAAATGAAATCTGAAGCCTGATTATATTTCTCTGGTGTAAATTCAGCAAACTTTTACACAATGCTAAAGATCTCCGCAGATGGGTTTTGGTATAGTCGTTTGCCAGCTGGTATTGCCATTTTAAAATGCAATAGAAAGTGACCATGACTTTTCTGAATTTTAGTGCATGCACACGAACTAAGTGGAAGGGGTGAATATGTGTGTCTACAAACAGCCTGACAAATACGTGTAAACTTATGAGGATCAGAGAGGGGAGCACTGGGCCTAATTCTCCCCTGATTCTTTACAGGTTAGTGCATGTGATAAAGTCATGACCATTCTCTTACTACAACCTGCTTCTACAGCCTGGCATCAGACCCCACTTACATGAATTTAAAGTCCCCTCAGCAGCCTGAGATATACAGTATACTGGGATCAGTGCTGCCCCACTTTGTGTTCAGTCAACTTCAAATTGCCTTATTACATTTACAGGCAACAGTTGGAAGATTTTCATTTGATTCAATTAATAAATGATTCCAAATTACTCTGCAGTCAGAAATGAAGCCAAAATGGGAAATGAAACCGAGATTTGGATAATGGTCCAGATTATCCGATGATGACATTCATCACTCTAGCTCCTTGAGGTAACTACAGATGACATCACAATCACATTTGTTAACATCTGTGCTGCCTTCCACTAGCAGTAAAAAACCTGGCAGGCAAGACAGCAATAATGTTACACAAGGTATTTCAGGATTTTAGATAATTGCAGTTGATACTCTGTATGGAGGCAGCACAAATGGTCCAAGGATGGTAATGAAAGGTGAAAGAGGTTTCAGTGAGAGCAAACAGTTGCTTTGCATCAACAGAAGGCACTGTTTATCTCAGAGGGTAGACTTCCAACCCAGGAGAGCTTCCAATCATTATTTTCAGACTGCAATGGGAGACATAGATGTGACTTTACCACCAAGTCCCTTCTTGTCATCTGGTTCCTTCTCATTGCTCATGAGTTGCATCACGCTTTCTATAGATCTCTCCATGTTGTCAACTCGCTCAGTCAGTCGCCTGATTGATTCACTGTACTTGAAATCACGCTGCTGCTGTTCCTCTTGAAAAGTTGAGTATGTGTCCACCCTTGTAATGAGAAATGCACAGGAATTGGTACACTTTAGTACTTGCATAGATTAAAGGCACTGAAAAGGCCCTTTTTAACCTTGCTGATTCCTGCATAGTGCATTTTTGTTCCCCATTCAAGGCAAGGTTTCTGGTTTAAATCGTTCAGAAAAACGACTTGCAAAATCTGACTTGAACAAATTTGATTTGTTGACATTACCAACTTGTGTTGAAATAAATACAAGAAAAAATAGTATCTTTGACTTTCTCTGCACAAAACCAAATCTGTTTTCATTCTTCTGAAGTTTTCTCATAAGAAATATGAGCACAAAATAATGGACAAATTAGGCAGACTTATTTGCAAAATACAAGTCACATCACCATTGTCAAATGTCAGAAAAATTGTACCACATCAATCAGGACGTGACACAAGTTGACTAAACAATGAATTCAGACTTGACTTGTGGGAAAACTACTTGTGAATTGACCTGTACAAATAAGTGGTTGAAACACCGCTCAAGGATGCATAGTATCATCAGCTCTCATTTAGGGTAGTACTATGCATTCTTTTGGTGTAAAATGTCATACAAGACTTCAAATTGTTCACATGTTAAATGTCCAATTTGACCTTACTTTTCTGATATCCTTTGTATTGTTCCATTGACTGATGACTGTTCCTCCAGAGCTTTTTGTCTCAAATAGTTCTCTGTGCACTCTTCTTCAAAGTTGTAAAGCAGCTGCATTGAAGGTTCGTCTAAAATCTCCTCTGACCAAAGTAAAAAAGAATCACAGTTGTTGATTTCTGACAGGGTATATTTCACATTTCCGAAAACCACATTAAACTGTTTTGTGATTAATTTTCTCGAAAATCAAATCTAAAAGACGCAATTTCATTCTAGTCTAATATTTATTACCAACAGTTTAATTCCATTTTACTGTTAGTCCCATTTATCACAAATCAGTGAGTCCTTTCGAATTCAAACTTAATTTAGTATAGTTACCAGAACACAATCTTTTCTACAAAATCCTCAAGCTGTCTCAATGGAAAAACTGAATACAGCCTTAGTCATCCAAACTCTCAATTAATTTTTTGAATGTGTTCCTTGGACAGGTGACTATTCATGTTTTCTTCAAATTTTCTGACAATTCCTAAAACATATTGAGGCAGTACAAGTCATATCCGTTGGGGATGGTTTCAAGTATAATGTATGCCTGAATTTAGGAACGGTTGATTACAAACAGCACAATATCGGCCCAAGACACTGACACAAAGCATCATTCAAAGTAAGCAACACATTTTTGTGATGAGCCTAAATCATGCAACATTCTTCACTTCTAAGAGCATTTGGGAGGACAAGTGAGGGTTAGGGTTAATCAGAATGTATCATACATGTTATACATGCAACTCTGCCTCAGTGTAAACCAGCATTGTATTTGAGTCCATCACAAGTCCTTGTAAGTCCATCACAAGTCATTCAGTCTTAATTCACAAGCTATTCAAATTGGCTGTGAAAAAAGTATTCTTTTGTCATTGTTCACCGTGTTACTTATGACTAGACTTATGCAGGGACTTGTGAAGGGTCTTGTGAAAGGACTTGTGATGGACTCCAATACAACACTGGTGTAAACCTACTCATATCTGGCAAGTTAAAGGTATGGCCACAACATGAGTACATCAATCTCTTGATGACCATGATCACATGGATGATGATGGTGAATGGGGCAGGTAGAAAAGGCTTCTCACTGTACTCCATGATTAAACGGTAGCGTTGGAACTTCCAAATCTCACTGGCATTGTCATGAACTCTTGTGAATGTGTTGCTAAAAGGAAAAGATGACAAGCAGTATCAAGCATTATTTCAAGGCAAACAGTGGAATGTTTTGGTTAGGTGACTCGGCTCTTCCAAGGAGTAACTGCAGGTAGCCGAACTTGTATGATACGTTTTCCCACTTTAATAGACTCTAATAAACTTCTTCATCTACACGCAACAAACTTCATGAACAATGTCACCAATTTGACTTTTTGGCTATTTGAAATTAAAATTTTTGACATCATCAAAGTGGAAGTTATTTCATATGTAACTTATGAATTCATGCAGTTTGGATTTGCAATCTGTTGTTTTTCTACATACAATCTTGCATTGCCAATGCTCAAAATCACACGTAACTTGTGACATCAAATATATACCAACAAAAAATGTACCACATAATCACCTGATGTCTGTGAATGACAAGAACACTTTCCTTCAGTTTGCTTTTTTTTGCAGTTTGCTTTTGTCTAGGGACTATATCTCATAACTCAAAGAAGAAATAACTATGATTCTAAAAGTTAAAGAAAGACTTGTTCTGTTAGAAACTGTCAAGATCTTTTGTCCTAAACTCACACAGAATTAGATCCTATACTCAACAAGTATTCCTGCATGCAGATGTAGAGCTTGCACTGAGGGAAGTGTATCCCCCCCATCACAACCCTTGATCTTTTATACTTACTTGAAAATGGCGATGAGCAAATTCAAGAGCAGCACATTTGATATCATGAGGTACACGCTCATGATGCCAATGACGATCACTCTGTCCCATTCATTAATTTCAGCCTGTGGTTCTGCCGTTACATCTGATTAAAAAAATTTGAGATACAATATCTTTTGCAGGATGCAATCACTACATACAGGTTCCAACAGAATTTGAATGTCAATACATTCGGATGGTGCTTTCTGCAGAACTTGAAGTGTAGTTTGTGTAGGGTCTGATCAACATTAATGGGAAGCCACACATTACAAATTTAACTACAAAAGTAGGATAACCATATAACAGGATTCATAAATACCTCAGACAGTCTCCCTATTCAACAACTTACAACTTGACTTTGTATTAACATTTAATAATTCCTGCTGAGAAGTGATAATGCCTGCTGCGTGAATCATGTGCTGGCACCTGGATACAAGACAGTTTAATTTATTCTGATTGGTTTACAGTCTGTGTGCACAGATGGCTCAGCACACGCCCATCAAGTCCACATAAGAAGATTCTATTGGATAACTTGCACAAGGAACATACCATAAAACGGACAGGGTGTTCGGGAAAATGAAAGTAAAATACTAAAACAAAATCGTTGGAAATCCATTACATACAGACTTCTTTTGACTTTCTGACTAAAGAGGTATTTATGAATGGGAATAAATATGTGCATGGCCGGTAACATATAAACCAGCTCAGGAGACTGAACGCTGATAATGTCCGAGCTGAAGGCGTGTCCAGTCTCCTGAACACCGGTGTTAAATGCAAGTTTAAGACCGGTCAATTACATATTTATTCCTTTACTTAAAAATCGTTACAGTAGAATTAATTTGAAGTATGGTGGTTAGATTGGAGCATTCCTAGCATAAAGGCTAAAATGGTTTCAGTGTGGTTGAATACAAGTAATTTAAAAGATGCTATATGACAACAGAAAAACTTGGCTTTTTAATATTTTTTCATGAGGCCTGTTGTAGTAACACTGTTGAGTGCTTCAATTCTTTGGCATTTCATATACTTCTTCTGCCCTTTACAGAATGAATTTCATCAGTTCTTAAGTCACTTTTTCATGATTCTATTTACTACGAGGGTTACATTGCCTCAGATGGAACGTTGAGCTGTACGTTACATGGTACTGCATATTCAAGAGCTCAGAAACAGAATACACGAGAGTGAAGAATCATATCAGGTTTTTTTCAGACCACATGAATTACACACCAACCTAGCAAGTATTTTGTGGAAATGCAACATCAACCAGACTCATTAAAATTATTCTTGACTTTTTGAAGGGTTGTTTAACCTGCAAGCCAGGATGAGAGAAGAGTTTGCAAACCTTTTAACCACTTCATGCCGGGGCATTTTTCAATGTTGATGATGCTGGGCTGGCATGACTATCATTTTTTCTGTTTACAAAATCCTTTAAAAATTCATCATTTCATTTAACGGTTGTTTATAGCCGCATGAAGTAATCTTTAGGCACTACTCTAAGTTAACAGGTGACCTTCATTGACGCCCGAGTATTTCAGCCAGGCCTGCAGCCCAGAGCTCAGATTGTGTGGTGTTATATAACTTTCTTTTGTTCATGAACCTGGCTCAGTGCACTGCTGACCTCTTTTCAATAGGGGCCAGATTAGCGTGCAGAGGTGCTGTGTGGCTCATCGCTGCTGTGGTGGAGTGTTTTTGTCCCCGGTGGTAACCCGCCCACTCTCAATGCACCAAACCCTGGTATACGGTTTCAAAACAAGGCTGGATTATTACCACTTTTGAGAGTGAAAAATGTCGGCAATGCCCAGCAGCCTGGTCTTTTGTTTGGAGTACGGTCTTTTGTTACAGGGCCCTCTGTTTCCTTTGTCCGAGTTCGGAGACTCCGGCCACGCATATAAGCCATACTTCTCTGATTCCGGAGTCCCCGGCAGGAAGTGGTTAAAACTGACCTGTATATGTTACATTGCTTTTTCAATTTACAAGGTACATGAACTTTGACAGAGCATACATGTATCAACTACAACTCAAAGAAACCTGTAAAACCAAAGAAACCAAAGAAACCCCCACAGAGAAATTCGAGTGGCCGTCAATGAAACTGAATATTTTGAAAAAGATTGCTTTATACCTTGAATTGAATTGAGCAATATATCACACTGTGAAAATTTTTAAGCAAATAAATGAATTACAGGTGGCTGAATATGAGGAAAAGTGTACTTATATATTTTTATTGAACTATATAGCCAACAAAGCAGTGTTTGCTGTCTGAATCATTGTTTTAGTAAGGTAAACCAGGACCACTTTTAAGAACTACCAGGAGTTTACATTTATATTAGATTAATATTACAGTATTGAATGGAGACAAGTTTCACAGTTGGTAATAGTTACAATGCTGGACTCAGAGTATCATGACAGCTCAAATTAATTAAGCCTTTGGATTATGATCAAGTCTGCTGGCAAAATTTTGTCAAGTTTGTTTCTATCCAGCCAGATGCAAAATGTTAGGCACAGCAAGTATATGCTGCAATCGGTTGCTCATTCTAGCCATGCCAACTGGCTAACGTCTGTCTTTCTGACCACATATGTGAATTTCATTGTTCTAATTCCAGCAATCACTTTGGGGCTTTGTATGAGGGATACTAAGGACTCTTAATTGTAATATCAAACACATAAAAATTTGTTTTCAAACATACTTTTTTATGCCCTTTGGCTCATGCTGTTCGATCTCATCCATTTTCACACAGCATTTTATTTCATTTGTAGACATTCAAGTTTGTTTGTACCACGTTTTAAATTAGAAATTATGTCATGCAATTAATTAATTAACACTCAGTCATCCTTCTATCTGTTACAATTTGATTTAATGAGGTTTTTGCATTTGATTCCAACTTTCCCTTCTGTTTACGCATGATCAATTTTACTTTGTGATTGAGCGTAACTATATGCACATTAAATGAGTGAATAAGCAAAAGAAACCTTAAAAATGAAGGCTTTAATAAGGACAACTGGTACACTTTTTATCTTAACTTTTAAAGGAAAAGAGAGTACGAGAAAAACAAAGATGAATTTACTGTATGTATCCTGGTTATTCTCCGCATCAGGGAATAGCTCTCCATACACCTGCCAGTATGGGATGAGGAAGATGTCGGCCAGGATCTTCCATTCCCATTCTGAGCGGGGATACAGGATAGCCTGTCTGGCTACACCATAGCTCACTAGGAAGACTAGCAGAATCAACATGAAGTATAACAGGTCACGTATCTATAAAAAAAAAATGACAAGTGAAAAATTCACTTTGGGAGAACATGTCTACCAACAAACTTCTGTCATGGGAGGCAAATGCTCAATTATACCAATCTAGATTTCAGCAAAAATTATGAACAGTGACAGTCTCTACTAAATCTCAATTTTGATCATCTTGGTGACTCAAAAAGATTTCCTCAAAGTGAAATAAATCCCTGCATAACTGGCTCTGATGCCAAATGAAATACGAACATTGTACAACACACAGGGAGAAAATAAGGAAAAAAGAAAATATCAGCGGCCATTGCTGCGATGCCCTGGTGAATTACATACCCTTGTAAAACATGTACCTTGTGGCTGAGTTGCCGCAATGCCCCACATAGACAGGGAAATCTGAGATGTGTCTTATGTTGTCCCTATTGTTGCTGTGGTAAAGTTTTTGACCACAGGTTTGAAAAGTACTGAAACGACCAGGTCTTCACCGCACAACAACCGTGTCCAGAGGAAATGGTTTAGAGGTAATGAATATCAGACTGCGGTCCGTTTGTGTAGGGCATCTACAGATGTACATGACACCAACATGTGTTTGTAGATCGTGTCTGTGACAGGCTCTGTAGCTTTGTGTGTGCATTGTAGCTGAGCTACCAAACAAGCTACCAACAACTTCAAGCATTGAAATGTAACCTGGAAAAATGAAACACTAGAAGAAGATAACTCTGGGTTGAAATTGCTTGCACAGAATACTACCTAACTAGGGATCAACTAAGGACAAATCGCGAGGTCTTTCTGAAAAAAATGAGACAGGACAGAAAAAGTGTTTGATCTCCAAAAAAATTGTCAAAAGAAAAAAACCTACTTTATTCAACAACCCAGAACCAATCTAG